GTTCAATACTTTTTCCTGTGCCATTTCACATTATCTCGACATTTATGGTTTGATTTCTTTGTATGTATGGATCATTTGGGTTGTTACCGACATCTGGTGAAAATTTCATGTCATTAGCACCTCTAGTAATATATTTACTGAAAAAAATGTTGACGTGTTCAATACTTATTTTACCCGCTATATATATATATAAAGAAATCCTGGAGAAACTTTGCACACATATGGAACTACACAGAATTTTAGTTTTAGATTTAGCGTCCTGACTTTAAAGCATTCTCACTCAGTAGTTCTTTCACTTTCTGCTTTGACCTTGACCAGCATAATTTCAGTGTGGGCTTTAAAAAAACAACTTAGATAAGTGTATAAGTTACAGGTCTAAATCAAAATCATCTACATCAAATGAACAGTATCTGAAAAATGTGGCATAAAAAAACAGAAAAAAAAATCCAGTGAAAATATGGAGTACTGCAACGAGAGTTTAGTTTAGCTCAGCTTTAACAAGTTACCAAAGAAAGGTCCTGCCCACTGCAGGAACCTCATACAGTGAGTTTTATTGCCACAACAAGGCACTCCTTCAGAATGAAAAACACAACTTAACTGCTTCTTTATTTGTCAAGTGGTCTAACCTCATTTATCACCTTGTAAAACCTTGAAACAAGATTAAAAAGTTCTTTACAGTGTTCATAAGTAACCTGTTGATATGCATATAATTTTGTACACGTTAAAGTATATGCCACTTAAGATCATCTTGACAAATTTTAATGACACAAGTTATTACACACATTACAATACACACACTCAGCCTGGTTTTTTGTGGTATGGGATAGTGGAAGTCTTGCTTTTGCCTGCAGAGGGCAGAAATGCTCTCTGACTGAAGTTGCTATTCTGCTGTCACAAACTAAAAACTGAAAAGTTTAAAAAAATTAAATTTTGCCATCTTCTGTGTAGTCTGTCACACTCTGGTGCTTTTAACTGCACAAAAAAAGCAAAAACATACTTTTGATTTCAGTCAGTTCACCGTGGGACATAAAGGAGAAATAAAGTCCAGCAGTCAGATTTCCAGTGAAAGCTTAATTTATTCACAATATTACAAACTCTGTGGAATTTTAAACCCCAAAAGCAGGCACAAACCAGCAACGTTTAAGAATACGACTGAAACGTTCATCAACTCGTTCCTTATTAGCTGTCACTCAAATTCTGAAGCGTTTGAAACTCAATCCCTTCTTTGGGAGATTTCAACAAAACACTGCATCGAGTAAATCAAAGGAGGAAGAAAGTTGTTTAATCAGAACTGAAATGAGTGTTTGTCCACGTGCTGCTCCTTTTAGCATTTTCCTCACTTTTTTCCACAAGACTTCCTTGTGTCCAGAATAATGGTCCTTTGCATAATTTATMATTTCAGCCTGCTGCAGGAAACATGTCCAGCCCTTCAGCCCCACGTCTGCACAAAGGCCAAAACAAGCATACATTTGTTTAACAAACTGAGACGGACGGAGTCTCCGCAGCTGGTGGAAGCCGTGCAGAAAAATAGGAAAATATCCTTCAAGGTGGATCGACGTCTGACGGCTTGACCCAAATCTGCTCGAATGTTTTTTTTTTGCTCGACACGGTCTTTGATGCTCTGATGTTTGGGCGGAGGCAAGCAAAGGATACTTTCAGTGAACATCCCACGCACAGCACAGCCAACAAGTTTCTCCTGAGAGATGATCACATTTTGATCRGTTTCTGAAGAATAGCTTCAAACTTTGACTAAACAAACAATAAAACACTCATGATCTCGTGCACCCTCACTGGCTGCTCTTAAAAAAAAAACTAAAGCGGCTGGTCAAGTATTTATGAATAAAATAGGAACTAAATACAAATGTTGCTGAAACAAATTCGATATGTAGATTTCAAAAGGTACTCATTGAAGTCATGAAGTGAAGCTTACAGATAGTTTTCAGAAGGGATTTATTTACATTGAATGCGTACCCGCATTTCTAATTTTTACATCCAATAGAAAACTACAGGAGTAAATGGTTTCAAATGACACTATTTAATGTATTTTAGAATAAACTTATATTTGATTTGACAGTTTGCAATGAGTACCTTCAAGTGGTCCTGTAACACAAAGGGTAAATGGAAATAAACCTATASATTGATTAAAGGGCCTTCACTGAGGAAGTAAAGAACTTTAAATTAGTTTAAGACCCCTGAAGTGAAGATATTAGAATTATTCTAATAAAAAGGGTTTCAAGTATTACACTTCTGCAACAAAAGCAGCACAGAGAGGGAGTATTCATTAACATCATTGTTCCTTACTAATAATCTGCTTGAGAGGTTTAGCACCTCAGCAAGAAATCATTAAGACTTAAAGCAGCTAGAAAACTAAGTGAATCCAGTTCTTCATCAGTATGTGTTTTAATGTACAAACATTTCTGTAAAAATTAAAAGCATAAACGTTTAAATGGATGGAGTAAGGCTTTAACTTCAAATGCTTTCGAATCAGGTTTGAAGAAATGTGCATTCTTGCATCTTCACAAAGTGCTTTGTTCCATTCACCTTTTTTTGGTTTTTAGTGCCATGATTTGAAAAAAAAAAAAAACATTTGAAAATAAGACCATTAAGAAAAAAATATCCACTACCATCTATAGTACATTTTCCTGACATGATACAGAACACCACACTCAGTCAGGCCACTGAAGCCTTCGCACTGCTCAGGTTCAATCTTAAAGCTTATAGGAGGTTTCCACAGGTGCAGGTACAGGGCTGGAGGGTGAAAAATTAAAGAAAAGTCTACGTTTTTTTAAGGTTTTCTGCACAGCAGCTCTACGACAAAATGTTTAACGGCTACAACAATATATAAAAGGCACACAGAAACAGTCCATTTGTGTTCAAAGTGAAAGAAAATGTACAAAATCATGATGAGTTTTAATGCACATTGCTGATTGTGCAGAAATGTTCTCCAAAATTCAGTCTAGCAGACATTCCTGCTGTCTTCATGAAGCAGGTTCTGTCGAGCTCTTTTTAAAAAGGGCCAAAACAATTTGAGTCCTACAGTGAAGTGATCCACCTGATCTGTCAGGCAAACAGAGTGAAAAGTTTATCCAAAACAGTTTTTTTTAACAAGTCATCTTCCTTCCAGGCCAAGTTGAAGAAACCTTTTTTCTTTCCATCTTTTCACAGATTAAGGCTGATGGACAGAGCCTCCAGCTGCTCCTCTCCCAACTTCTGTTTTTCTTCCAGGTCCTTCTGCCGGATGAGGAGCGAGGCCTTGGTCTGGACAAAACGCCGGTAGTCCTGCAGCTGCTCGACGGACAGCTGGCGCGAAAGGAAGGTGGAGACCAGGCTCTCCCTGCGATCCAGGTTCTCCTTCAGATCTTTAGCGTCTTCCCTCTGTTTGCACAGCAGACGATGGCGACTGTCCAGAGACTCCTGTGTGGAGACAAGAGGGGACGAAACATTATCGTGCAAATCTAACTGGTTCTGCACACTGTGGGATTTTAGCGAGCCATWTATCAAAGAACTGAGCTCATCCAGGAAATGACTGATTGCATTTTAATCATTTTTATTTTAAAATATTTAAACTTTACTTATCTTTTCAATTCTTTCAAAACCGAATCTCTTTGAAATCTGCTACATCATAATATCTCCACTGGTGTTTTGCTACCTTTAGCGAGATCTTTTGCTCTTTTTAGTTTTCACTCTATTACTTAGCGCTCAAAATTCATGCTGCATTGCTGCACAAAATGCAGACAGTAGTTTAACCTCTGGGTAGAGCAAAAAGTAAAACAAAAGCCTGTCTTTGTGTGCATTTTTTTAAATCTTATTCGTTTGTTTAAATAAAAAAGTGAGACCACAACTGATAGCAAAAGGTTGCATGATCATATTTCAGGTACAGGACAGGAGTTGCAGTGTGTCCTTAAGTCAACAGAGGGCAGGGTAGATACAAATGTAATCGAAACCGGGCTGGAGTTTCGGTGAGTCAGTGTAAACACCAGTGCTGCTGATAACAGCAAGAACAGAAATGAGCCTCTAATAAGCCCTCTGCATGCTGCGTGCTCAGTCATCGTGTTTAATGGTCAAAATAAAGAGCTTACTCAGCGATAAATCAAGAAATGTAATGCATCTATGTGAACAACTTGTTGAAAAACTGGCACAAGGACYGCTGCTTTGCTTTATCTAAACTAAATTTAAGGTCAAATTCATGAATAATTAACAATAAGTAATAAAACTGTACTTGTGAACCAACTTAGATGTGGTGTAAGGAAACATGAACAATCATTTCTCAACACATCACACTATTCTGAAGCTGCTTCAATTGCATTCAATCCAAAAGGCTCATATAGATTTAAAATTTCTTCTTTCAAAGAGTTTTGGTCGAGATAAAAGTAAAGTCACGATCCCAATCAGATGAAATAGAACCCTAATAAATTTAATAGTAGTAGTCTAGTACTACTACACATAAGAATAATGCACATGTGCTCAGTCATCACCAAGTGTAATGCTTCCATATATAATGTAAACGATAAAACTACACTTTATCTAAATTTATCTGCAGATGTCAAATGAAGTATACCACAGATAAGCTCAAAACTGGTAATGCAGATAAAAGCCAGCAGCATTTCTGGCATTCCTCACAGTTAGAAACCTTGACTCCATTAAAGTTGCCCTTCAACTTTCTCCAACAAGTGGTGTGTTTGCTGTTCTAAAGTAAACAGAACCAGAGCCCGGCTGACAACGTGCCTTTCTACACTCGTGGTCATCTTTATCCACGCGCTCTGAACGAGCAGCTGTGAGTCACGACACCTGAATGTTTATACATCATTCTGTGTCCCCAGGAGGCCATGCTAACAGTCTGCCTTCGCTCACGCTTCAGTTTGTACATGTAAACAGGTTTTAATGGGTAAAGGCAGGGGCTGAAAGGGATCATAGTTTGCTTAGCACATGATTGTGCATTAGAGGGTATTTGTAGATTTATTTTATTAAAACTGGTGTAATTGATAGGATAATAAGCAACGAATCAATTAATCGAATAATAAATTAAAATTAGGTAATTTTCAATTGCCTGCTTTTTGTTTTCTTTGTATCTCCCTCTTTTCTACTGTTTAGTGTGAAATCTCGTGTCAGGTATTAGCCTTTATATCTGTTTTTTTTTTTGGTAGTACTTTGAGATTTGGCATCAAAAGAAAAGTGCATTACAAATAAAATGTATTATTATTATTATTATTATTATTATTATTATTATTCAGACAAATGGTCTCTAACTTCGTAGAACCTTGTTAGTAGGAATTTAGTCTTCGGTTTTACGACAGCTTCTTTCAGCTGGTGATGCCTAGTGATGCCCTCAGGGCACCATGGCAAACCTCGGGTTTACAGAGAGTTTTTATTTATTTATTTATTTTTATATAATGTACATTTTGTAAATTTCACAAGCAGTGTGTGGGTGACAGCAATTATTTTATGAATCCGGAGGAAGACGCCTGTGCCGACTTGGATAAGGGAGGGCAAGGATTTTACAGCTTCAGTAGCTGTTGTTGTGTGATGTTTTCACGAACTCCGGTCCCGGTCCGTCCGTATCTTTACGTAAATWTCGTAACCTTCAGTTCATTTTTGTAAGTGGCTTGAGAATGGCCGCTCTTATTTTATGAAGCCAGAGGAAAAATCATTGCATTAGTCTCCAAACGATATTATCATTGATCACAATAATTCCTGAGACAATTTATCGTCCAGCAAAATGTATTATCGAGACAGGCCTATTAATCGATCTTTCAGGCATATGGAGCTTATAGTCAGGCATGTCTTCTTGTTTTCCATTTTCTTGATTTAAATGTTTAACAGTTGATTACTATCAGAAAATTGAGTAATTACAAAGTGATATACAATCGGGCCCAAACACTCTTAAAGGGATCCCCAATTAGTTGTAACATTAGACTTTATTTGATAAACATATATTTTAACTGTAAAATAAAGACTTAAAATACTGTACGACGTTTAGTTTTTATCATTTCTAAACTAAAATTTTAAAAATATATTACACGGATGGGGCCATTTTATTTACCCACAAAGCATTCTGGGTAAATGAAGATGTGGATAGGTCATCGGTGCGAGCGAACTATATCCACCCTGAAGGTTAATCTTGGACAATATCTGATGATCGACTCTTTTAAATGAAACCAGAGAGCGTTGACAGAGAGGAGAAGGCCATTTGGGGAGGGGGTCCTGAAGAAGGGCGGACCGCCGGGTGCGGTCGTGGGCTGTGGGTGGGCTTGGGGCTTGGACGGTCGCCGGGGGCGGGGCTGGCTCTCTGTCCTCCCTGGTGCTGCTTTGTCTCCTGAGGTGTGGCTCTTGGTTCCTGTGGGTGGCCCVCTGGCCGGGGTGGCTGCTGGGTTCCGGGGGGTGGACGGCTGGGAAGGTGCACTTGGTCGCTGGCGGTGTGGTGGGGTTGTCATGGGTGTGGCTCCTCTGCATCGGGGGGCTGGCCGGGCGTCCTGGTGCGGCCCGGGCCAGGCCTTGGCTATCTGCTCCTCTCCACCTCAGAATGATTGGGTTTACCTCCTGGGTTCGGGTGTGTGCTGCCTCCAATGGTGGGTGGGTGCATGTCCTGGACCTGGGGGGTATAGAGTGTATATCGGGGGTATGAGTGGAATGTGGCGTCCATGTATGTCTTTGATTGAGTGGGGGTGAGGATGAGGGTGGGATGGTGCCATTGTGAATGTGTATGTTTGGGTATCTGTCAGGCTGCGGTCTGGGCTGCCCCTCCTGCTGGTTTATCTGGGGGCC